AAAAAAAAAAAAAAAGTTGAATCTACAAAATACTTATATTATGGACCCACCCTCCTAAGGATGCCTAAACTATTTGCATAAACTATTGCTTAGGACTTACTGTTCCTCACTGCTGAACTCAGTCTAGACAGATTTCCCAAATTCATCTGGAGGAATAGTTATTTTTTAAAGAAGTTATTTTCTTAACATAAAAATAAGATGTAAGAGAGCTGGCCAAGTGGCGCGTTGGTTAAGAGTTGGCCTGGGACGCCAGCTCTGAGCATCAGGGCCCTGGTTTGGATCCCATATGGGCCAGTGATGCTGCGCCCCCTACAGCTAAGATGGTGAACAACAGCTTGACCTGGAACTGGGCTTCCGTGAGTTGCTAGGCTGCAGTGGGGCTGCCTGGCAGCGGGCATGAGCTTTGGTGAGCTGCCCTGAGCCATCATGAGTGGTGTCCAATGGCCTGTGAGCGACTGCCTCACCCCGAAAGAGCGCAATGATAATACCAACATGGGCCAGTGAAGCGACGTCCTCCACAACTAGACTGAAGAACAAAAAAGACAGCAACTTGTCTGTTCCCCTTCCCTGATTCCCCAATAAAAATCTTTAAACAATAAAAATAAAAAATAAGATGTAAGAAATCAAATGGTCTCAAAAAAAATCATATACTTCTGCATTAACACAATTTTCATGTCACTATTATAGATCTATAAACAGCTTGGGAAGGAGGCATATGAAATGTATTCGTAAAATAGAGTTCCCCGGTGGTGTCCTCTGCCTAGTTTCTGCTCTGCCCTTTGTGATGCATGCGGGCGGTGAGAGGGCTGCCAGCCCGCCCAGCGATTGCCCAGAAGCCCATTCTGTGTGTCAGCCTCCCTTGTGGCTCACCAGCAGAGACATAAGGATGTGGGAGGTATGGGGCCTCTGGGTGCGTGTGTGATTCTGTGAGGCCCAGGGCATCTCTGTTGGAGCACGTGTGCTTTGGGTCAGCCCCAACTCTGCACAGAACCACCTGCAGGGAAGCTTCAGGGGCTGGTCCACGGGCTGGCCAGTGAGCTCATGCCCACTCGGCTCTCCGCTGTCTCCTTCTATAGGAAGTCCTGCGCTGTCCTACTGAGGGCTGGCAAGGAGCCAGTCACAGAGAGGTGAGTGATGACTAATGTCCCCACCCAGCCCCATGTGCCCAGCATGGGGAGAGAGCAGAAGTGCCATCATTAAAGAGAACCAGAGCTAGACTGTAGCTAAAGCAGTAAAAACATTTTATTCAGGGGCCGGCCGAGTGGCGCGATGGTTAAGAACTCGCTTGGGATGCCAGAGGGCCCCGGTTCGGATCCCACNCCCAACCCCTGCAACATGAGCAACTGAAGCCACACCTGCAGCTGCTGCAACAGCAGGGACAGTTACAACCACAGCAGCTGCCACAACAACAGCAGCAGTTGCAACAGCAGAAACTGTTACTACAGCAGGAGCAGTTGCAGCAGCAGCAATTACAGCTGCAGGAACAAATACAGCAGCAGCAGCAACAACAGTTAGAGCAGCAGCAGCTGCAGTCCCGTCCACTGGAGCCAGGAGAGGAGGAAGAGGTGGAGTTGGAGCTCATGCCAGTGGACCTGGGGCCGGAGCAGGAACTGGAGCAGCAGCGGCAGGAGCTGGAGCGGCAGCAGGAGCTGGAGAGACAACAGGAACAGCGGCAGCTGCAGCTCAAACTGCAGGAGCAGCTTCAGCAGCTGGAGCAGCAGCTGGAGCAGCAGCAGCAGCAGCTGGAGCAGCAGCAGCTGGAGGAGCAGCAGGAGGTGCAGCTGGAGCTGACTCCAGTGGAGCTGGGGCCCCAGCAGCAGGAGGTGCAGCTGGAGCTGACCCCCGTGCAGCCTGAGCTGCAACTGGAGCTGGTGCCGGCTGCGGGGGGCGGCGGGGCTTCGGGACCGGGGGCCGCGGTCGTGGTGGCCCCCCCGGGCTACGTGGTGCTGCAGGAGCTCATGGTTCTGCCGGCCGTGGCCACGCCGGCGGTGGTGCCCATCTCGGGCCCCGCGGGCAGCGCAGCCCTGACTCCCGCCCGGCAGCGGCGGCGGCGGCGCGCCCGGGACCGGCCGACCATCTGCGGGGAGTGCGGCAAGGGTTTCAGCCGCAGCACGGACCTGGTGCGGCACCAGGCCACGCACACAGGCGAGCGGCCGCACCGCTGCGGGGAGTGCGGCAAGGGCTTCTCGCAGCACTCAAACCTGGTGACGCACCAGCGCATCCACACGGGCGAGAAGCCCTACGCCTGCTCCTACTGTGCCAAGCGCTTCAGCGAGAGCTCAGCCCTCGTGCAGCACCAGCGCACGCACACGGGCGAGCGGCCCTACGCCTGCGGTGACTGCGGCAAGCGCTTCAGCGTCTCGTCCAACCTGCTGCGCCACCGGCGCACGCACTCCGGCGAGCGGCCCTATGTCTGCGAGGACTGCGGCGAGCGCTTCCGGCACAAGGTGCAGATCCGCCGTCACGAGCGCCAGCTGCACGGCGCCGGCCGCTCCAGGGGCCTGGGTCTGCTCCGCGGCACGCGCGCGGCCACCAGCGGGCCACCGCGCACCGATCAGGCGGCCGGCGACAAGGTTCTGTGACCCGGAGGGTACCGAGGACAGGAAGATGGCCAGCTCCTCCCAACGACACTGTGCCTGCTGAAAGGTCTTGTCCCTGCTCCGTGATCTCGGACATCCTCGAATGTCGCTGGGCAAAGGCGTCCGTCTTCCCAGATCACCTGCTGAGTAGGATAGAGTCATCCTCAGAAACACCCTGGAGAGGAAAGCCGGTGTGGCTGAAACAGCACAGATGGTGCACATCAGGACAAACAGCACATGGTACGGATTCGTTATCAGGTACCAAGTGGGGACAAGTCTGCCAAAGCGCCTCCCCCCTGGGGAAAACTGGACTTAGCAGAAATGCGAGTCACTGGAGAAAACTTCTAATCACAGATGGGACAGTTGGTGACATTGGACACGGATCGAACTCTAACCAGGGAATCAAATATACCTGGTAAAACGCACACAAAAAGGATTTAATCCTGGTAGAAATTATTTCAAGGAAAAAAATGGGGAAAAAGGCAACTTATCTGCACTATGTAAAAAACTGATCAAGGCATTAATTAAATTGTCCCCAATGGCATTTGTCCTGAAAATACTTCCTCAAATGAAAATTCATCGGGGTGGATATAATCCTGATTAAAATGTTTGTGTTCATAAACACAGGGTCAGAATGTCCACTGGGTCAGTGTGCAAATGCCAGGCTGTCCTGCTCTGGGCCAAAGGTTAAACCTTCCCTCCAGGGCCATCCAGGGTCCTGACAAGCGTGGGAGGCAGGCTCTAGGCCTCTGCTGCCTTGATCCCATGCCTGCAGGGTCCCCTCATGCCCTGGTGAATAGAAGCCTGTGGCTGAAGCAGAGGGCATTCTGGGAGAGCTTTCCAAGTTCCAAGGGAGTGGTCACCCCTCGAAAGAACTCTGCGATACCCCCTTTTCCCTGAGATCCTCCAGGTCTTGGCTTCTTAGGTGCTTGCCCAGCGACTGGCTATGGGATTAGGGCCTTGAGACCCAGGGACAGGCAGGGTTCTCCTGGGCTGTGCAGGGGGCTGGCCTGAGCAGATGCTGCCTCATCGCTAGGGGTCAGAGGGAGAATGTTGGGTACAAAGATCGGAGACATCAGAAATGCTCTTTACATTCACAAAATCATCTGGGGGTCACCGAAGCCTGTGGGAAGGCAGGATGGTGGAGGAGGCTGCCCAACACCGCGGCCGCCCACGCGCTTCCCGCTCCTGACTTCCCACCTGTGGCGGCTCAGGTCCTGTGCTCCCTTCCCGCCCTGCTTCTCCTTAACTAACACAGCCTGCTACATTTCACAAATGTGTTGGTAAGTGAGAAACAAAAAGTGAAAAATAAACTTAAATGAAGAAATACATCGTCCTGTCTGCTTTCACCTCTTCACTTGGTGGGGCTTCATTTCTACGGAACATTTTCTTGGTCGCTCTAGAAGCAAGGAACTTAGTATTCAGGTCCATACGTGGTGCTCCTCACCTGGACCCTTCATTCCAGCCTGAGACCCTTGGCTGGGCTGGGGATGGACTCATTCGGTAAAACCCTCATTGGCGAGATGGGGACCACAGGTAGACACTTGAGACCGGCTTTGGCGTCTCCTAAGGACAGGCTTTGAATCAATCTGGTCCAACTGTAGAGTGGAATGCTGGAATAGTGGTGAGCGTGACATTCGTTGTCAGATGGCCACTTGGAAGGGACTCATGAGGCCTGAGGCCCCTCCCAGCCCTGAGTGTCCTTGGTTCTAAGACACTCTCAGGTCCCTTTTTACCGTCTGTGTTCCTCTGTCGTCCAGCTTTTGCTTCCAATAGCGCACACCCTCCGCTCTTCTTTGCTGGAAGCCCCTGAGACTGCTGAAGCCCCTTGATCCCCTTGTGCAGAGAGCTGGATGCACCTCAGACTTGCCCCCTCTATGGTGGTCCTTATCCCATGAGAGACAGGTGTGGGAGGAGGCCACATGACAAGCTCTCCCAATTCCATCCAGGAGCTTGGAGGTACGACTCACACCCCAGCATTTGCTGTGGGACCCCATCGAGGTTCCTCTGCAGGAATTTGCTTGAGACTGCACCCTTACTTTGCCTCCCTTCCTTTCCTGTCCACTTCCCGACACCCCTGGGAGCATGACCTTCATAAATCACTCCCGCATGAATCCTAATTTCAAGGTCAGCTCAGGAGCCTGCCCTGAGACTGATGGTGTTGACAGTGGTCCTAGGAAGTGGAGTCTAAATGTGGGGATTCTAGACTTGAATTGCATGCCCATCGGAGCGACAGGGGCCCCCTTGTGGGTGGTGACCCCTGGCTGCTGCACTGATGGGCAGGACCGGACCAGGTGGGAGGGGACTCCCTGGCTCATGCAGTATCTCGAGCACTTGAGATCTGTGGGAGAAATGGTTACTATAAGGACTGTGGTTCTGCTGAGCACAGTTAATGCCATGATGAGGGGAAAGGGGAGGTTCAGGTCCATCACTACCAACTTAAGGCACAGAGGGACAGTCAGAAAGCCTCGTGCAGCATTTAAAGAGGCTCTCGTAGGGCCGGCCGAGTGACTCAGTTGGTTAAGAGCTCGCTCAAGAATTTGAGCTCTGAGCAACAGCGGTTCGAGTCCAGCCCGAGCTGAGCAGCCGCTGAGCTGCCAACAGGTAGCAGGATGGCTCAGCTAAA